ACATTGACATACAATTATCCTAATCATGATCATGAAATAGGGAAATGAAATATCTTTTTTCAGGTCTTAAACAAATTGACTTGGAAAAGCTCACAGCTGGCCTCATACAATTAACTGTTAAATGCCATGAAAGCTTGAAATCTTTTATTGAAGACATGTATAGTCCTCTAATTTCCTTACAAGGAGTCGATTGTCACGGCTAGTGCTTTTAAAATAGAAATATCACAGGAAACAACACATGACATTTGCTTTCTGACATCAATGCATGATTTGGAGGAATACGTCTGGTACAGAGGAGATGCTCCAACTCTCTGTCCACAGATATGATTAAGCAGACATTTTGAATTTTGTTTTTTTAACTCTGATAAACCCTCTGGATTACAACTTGCTTGTCTGTTATATTGATTGGTCCAAATACTGTCAACATATCAAATACAGGAAAACCCAATGCCATTGACAATTGAATCTGTCCTTTAACATTTCCCGAAATGCTTCAAGCTACAGTGTTTGATGCAGGTTTTTATTTCTTCAGATAACAAGGATACCTAATTCTCCAGTCCAAACTCTCTTCATTTTAGGATGAAAAATGGCTTCAGGATTTGGGTTCGTTGGAGGAGCACATCTTCATCCTCAGGCAACATTTAGAATATCAATTAAGAAAAAAAGCCGATATTGTAAACCTTGGAGTGCCATCACATCTCTGACCCAATGATTCTGCACATGAGTCCATTCAGGGGAGGGTGATAAGCAAGGAATGCAACAGAAATAAATCTGATGGAGACAGCAATGGTCATGATGACCTTGTTCATACAACAAGCTAGCCTTTGCGCAGCCACTTAATTACTCCAAGCTCGGTTTCAACAGTTCAATAGTTCTGGAGGGGAGATCCGTGGATTCCTATTGCCGACAAACAGGAAATTTCAACCAGTCAGTTAGGTCAAGGTCTGGTAACAATCTGGACAATTGTATTCTGATCATCATGGCTACAGGCCTCAGTCCACAGAGTGATCTTCACCATGATTACTGTACCTTCAACACTTAAGCATAGGCTTACAAAAGTGCCATGTACCTGCAAGATTGCCTTGATGATCGGTGAGCAGGACAATCGCAACGGAACTTTGGTCATATCTCAATCAGCGACTTAAAGTGCAAGTATCATGAAAAATAGTAACATATTTTTCCTACATCATTATGTAGCCAGTATGATGTACAATAAGATGGCCAGGAAAAAAAGTGTGAAAATGTTAAGTTAGCGCTGTTGCACTTAGCTAAAAGTATGTATTTGAGGTCTGGATTTGTCCCAACCATACTAAATTAGCACGGCCGGCAAGGTCTGCAAGCTGATTGGATATTACCACCAGCCGGATACAGAATAATAAGCAATCCTTGCATTGATTGTTGGGAGACCTGTGTTCTTTATAATACCGGTGTGGATTCCATGTATGTCATGAGTATGGCTAGTGGGGGGATTCAAGTAACCTTGATTTAACATTATATAATTTTAACATCATAAGATATTTTCCTTTTCAATTTTAGTGGTGCAGGGTTACTGCAGTAGATTATAACATAATGTATGCCAGCAGTCAGTCCAAGTATCACAAAGTAACACACTCAGCCAAGTGTATAGTGTAACGTAAAACGGCAAGTGACACGGATTGACAGGGTCTATGACATGTCGCTTTCTATTTGTAGTGCTATTTCAAGACTGCACCTGGATATTGTAATCTGGAGAAAATATACGAAACAAACAAACCATCCTGTTTTGCAATCACTTGTAATCAACCTGTCCAAAATGGGGATTATTTTCAGCACTATTGTCGGTCACACGTAGGCGTTCACTTGTACTTCTTCCGAAATCCCCATTCATCTTCCAAAAAACATTCACATTCCATGCTAACTTGAAACCTATTGTCACTGTCAGAGTCGGACATATTGGTAAGTTTTAACAAGAATCAGGATACCGCAAAAAGGAACAAAGTACATACGATTCAAACACAGAAAAGTCTTACAACAAAATAAATGCAACAACAAACAATAAACACAATTGAAGAAATAGTATGTTTCTCACACTGTTTTCTCACCGAATAGTGTAGGGGCAGTTGGGTAGCCTAGTGGTTAAAGCGTTCGCTCGTCACGCCAAAGACCCGGGTTCGATTCCCGACATGGGTACAATGTGTGAAGCTGATTTCTGGTGTCCCCCTGCCATGATATTGCTGGAATATTGCTAAAAGCAGCGTAAAACCATATTCACTCACTCACTGATCGAACAGTGAACTCAATTTGTGATGAAAATGGCCTTTGTCATAATTCTGTTGTTGAAAGAAGGAGAAGTATATTTCAATCCTCTACTCCTACTCATACAAAGTAAAATACAGTGTACAGATGAACATTGGTTAATTGTGGATAGGTGAATGTCAAGAGTTAAAAGGGGTGAAGAAAAGGTTTGCTTTGCCAGTGGTGGGCTTCTTGTGTGATCAAGCGGTGGGGGTTTTGTGTCTGATCAAGCTTGTAATTTTGAAGGTTGCTTGTGTGCGATCAATCGGTTATTTTGAAGGTTGTTTGTGTGCGATCAATCGGTTATTTTGAAGGTTGTTTGTGTGTGATCAATCGGTTATTTTGAAGGTTGCTTGTGTGCGATCAATCGGTTATTTTGAAGGTTGCTTGTGTGCGATCAATCGGTTATTTTGAAGGTTGTTTGTGTGCGATCAATCGGTTATTTTGAAGGTTGTTTGTGTGCGATCAATCGGTTATTTTGAAGGTTGTTTGTGTGCGATCAATCAGTTATTTTGAAGGTTGTTTGTGTGCGATCAATGGGTTATTTTGAAGGTTGTTTGTGTGCGATCAATCGGTTATTTTGAAGGTTGTTTGTGTGAGATCAATCGGTTATTTTGAAGGTTGTTTGTGTGAGATCAATCGGTTATTTTGAAGGTAATTTCCTCAAAGAATATCACATATGGAGCCTTTGTGTATAAAGACTTCATCTCCGCTGTATTTTCATTTCAGCCTTTGAAATTGATAGACAGGACAAACTTACAAATAAACCTATTTACGAGCCGCTTTCGATGTTTTCAAAATGCTATTTGCATTAACAATGTTACAATCTATCCAAATCTGCAGAGTTGTATATCCCCATGAGACTTGCACTTTAAGCCATTAAGCAGGCCAAGTTGATGTGAATTAATGCCAGTCTAGCTACATGGGTAAGCTTGGATAACATGTTCAGATTAAAATCTTCGGAAAATTGAAATGTAGGACAAGTTTGGGCTTGTATTCTCAACAATTTGACAGCATATCTGTTACAAAAGATGAAAACAGCACATCATATAACTGCTGCAATTTGTCGACAGGGTGTAAAGTGAGTGAGTGAATTGGGTTTAACTCCGCTTTAAACAGTATTTCAGTTATATCACTGCTGTCAGTTTAATGTGGGAGGAAAGCCCAAAGGGATGCAGGTCTCAGACGTTTACCACTTCAGTGAAACCCACGAGCACGGGTATGGTGCTGACAAACCTAGAAACATAATTGGGGCGAACCGGGATTCAAACCCACAATCATAGGTTTCTGGCGTGCCCAAGGGACGCAACTCTGCACAGAGAATTGCAGCACCTTAGACAACTGGGCCACCCATGTCCCCAATTTGATGCCAGATTCTGAAAAGCATTCTCAGAAGTATTGAAACAGTAACCATTTATTAGTAAATAAGTTCAATGTCATCACCATTGATATTACCTGGGACATTGCCACCACCACCATTTCTGTTTTGACTAGTCGTAACAAGAAATGTAATAAAGTTGTCTTTGGTCTGACAGTTTGTCAGCCATGTTTCCGTTATTTCTCCTCCATTCTGTGCCGTGTGAATACGTCAATTTTTCAGCTAATCAATCATTACGTACCTAACAACCAACATTCCACATTAACCAATTGTTAAGGTTCAATGAACTCCAATAAGGTGACTGTATAGCATAAGACAACTCACATACTTGGTTACACGAGGAAATGTGTTGAGAGTAGTAGTGAATTCTCATAAGAGACATCAATATTTATTTGTCTTATTCGTAAAAACACCAAAACAAAACAAATGGTTAATTCAGTTCATTTTTTTTAAAATCAATCGGCTAATGTAATAATTTCAATAAAAGTTATGTTCATAAATATTGACTCTAATTGAGTTTGAAAACATGTCTATACACTCTAGAGAATGGACTATTTCACAGCAGCTGTAGTCATGACTCCAACAACTACTATAGTAGGAGATGAGGTGAAATTGGGTTTAACGTCGCGTCCAAGATTATTGCACTTATATAGCGACGTGTGTGTGTGTGTGTGTGTGTGTGTGTGTGTGTGTGTGTGTGTGTGTGTGTGTGTGTGTGTGTGTGTGTGTGTGTGTGTGTGTGTGTGTGTGTGTGTGTGCCGACCAGTCCTTGCTTTAACCCCTTAATGCCGAGGGCCAGACAGGGTAATAACAAGTACCATCTTTTAACGTCTTTTGGTATGACACGGCCGGGGATTGAACCCCGGACCTTCCGCTCTCCTGGCGGACGCTCTACCACTAGACCACGGAGGTGGTCTACTATAGTAGGAGCCTGCAATGACCTTGAAAGGGCGGGAGAACAATTGTCCAAACAAAGTCTCCATGTGACACCTCCAGTTCCACCAAGGTCATGCATTTCTGTGGACGCAACAACTTCTAACAAATAGTCACAGACTAATCACTTCATATTTCAGGTAAGCACACTCTGTAAAGTGCGAAAGTTACTCATAACAACCAAATTAAAAATATCTTCTTAACATGAAGAAACTTTTTTATTCAAATATATTTTAAATAATTAATTAATATGTATTCTCTTTCAACTCGTATCTCTTAGAGCATGTTACCTGAAACACAAGTATTTGGGGTTGGTGGGGGGCATGAAGCTTGTGAGCATGTTCAGCTTAGAGACTGAACCGGGAAGGTTGTCCTTCCTGTACAGCACGACTGGTGTTGCGAACAAGGTACTCACCATTAGGGAAGGCCAAGACGCTGATGATGAGGAAGAAGAAGACGAGGCAGCAGATGCCGCTCCAGATGTTCTCCTCAGGTAGGCTGTCATCTCTGTAAACAGACGAGTGAGTGAGTGAGTGAGTGAGTGAGTGAGTGAGTGAGTGAGTGAGTGAGAGCAAAATGGTTCAACAAATATGTGGCCATGTCACAATGGCCAGCTTATGAGAAATTTGCAGCTAAGTCATGCACATAGGTCTAGTGATGTCTGTTGATAGATACTTGCCAATGAGAGGTAATATTGAGTGAATACCTTCCCACACATTTACATGACATAGGTTTAACAATCATCCTCAGTAACACTTCTCCATCATGTCTATTGACAAACAGAGCAAGTAAGGATAAGAACTTCTGAATGCCTCTCAAAGAAGTGAAACATATAGCAATCAGTGGATAAATCAGTCAATCAAAGAAGTGAAACATCTAGCAATCAGTGGATAAATCAGTCAATAAACATGACAAAAGATCATGATTATCATCATGATAAGTTACACTTGAGTGTCCATGTTTCATCAGCTATGTTGTACCCTTTCGTTAAGTCGCAAGTTTGTGCTGTTATGACGTTATTTGCCATTAACATGATTTATATGATAAAAATCACTGGTTAATAAAATACAGAAGTTACCATGGTGACGCATATAAATGTTAATATGAGATAAGTCCAATTATTGTCTGAAGAATTTAGACATGGTACTTAACAGATATTTGCATTCTATTAGTCCAAGGACAATTTCTTGTGTGCCAACATCTATACACTGAACAAGATGAAGTATTGAAATGACTTGCCACAAGTTTCAAGAATTATATAAACTGTTTTGACGAATATCTCAAACACTATGCCTTGAGTCAATGACTTCCAGATTAATCCACCCCTGATCACAGGAGAAACATGTAGTATTTTCAAGCTTTTTTACTTATTTGTTCAAATGCTCCCCTTATAAAATGCTGAGTCTTTCAAAATCATACCAGTTTGGGTTCTGGTAAACTGTGATGAGCAAACATTGAATCCAGTACTGTAAGAGTGAGTGAGTGAGTGAGTGAGTGAGTGAGTGAGTGAGTGAGTGAGTGAGTGAGTGAGTGAGTGAGTGAGTGAGTGAGTGGGTGGGTGAGTGGGTGGTTTGGTGAGTGAGTGAGTGAGTGAGTGAGTGAGTGAGTGAGTGGGTGGGTGGGTGAGTGGGTGGTTTGGTGAGTGGGTGGGTGAGTGAGTTTGGTTTTACGCCAATTTTGGTTTTAGCAATATTTCAGCAATATCACGGCGGGGGACACCAGAAATGGGCTTCACACATTGTACCCATGTCGGGAATCGAACCCGGGTCTTTGGCGTGACGAGCGAACGCTTTAACCACAAGGCTACGTGACCACCCAGTACTGTAATGTAATACCCAAGCATATTCAGCAATGCTGTCTTATTTGCAGCTATTGACTATTTCTTGTTCATTTTACGGACAATGCCCACCATAGTTGATATTTCTGGGAATAAGATGATACCGAACAATCAATAACCATGAACAGGTCTATGTCAGTGCTATCCAAGCCTTGCATTCAAAGTTCTGAGGATTCCATACAAAAACTGTTTCACTTGAGCATTGATGGAAAATGATAATGCAGGAGGTCTAAGCTATCAATACTATTTCTCTCTGAGCAAACAGAGCTACCATGTTCATTTGATCAATAGCAAGGTACTAATGGTCCTCATCAAACAACTAAATTAACACAATTAATGAAACTTTGACCTTGCTTGGTTCATTACCTAGGTTATGAAAGTCTTCAGTACCAGTGACAGCTAGATGGGCGTATCTTAATTTTGTTTGCCTGAACCTCAATATATGTAGTGCAAGACTACCATTATAGTCCCTGAAGTGAACTTGGGCTGTGATGAGTGCAAATTACTACCCAGGTACCCACCCCTTTATTACCTGATCCTACCCGGGTACCCACCTCCTATTACCCGACCCTACCCAGGTTCCCACCCCTCTATTACCCGACCCTACCCAGGTACCCACCCCTCTATTACCTGACCCTACCCAGGTACCCACCCTTCTATTGCCTGACCCAACCCGGTTACCCATCCCTCTATTACCCGACCCTACCCAGGTACCCACCCCTCTATTACCTGACCCTACCCAGGTACCCACCCTTCTATTGCCCGACCCTACCCAGGTACCAACCCCTCTATTACCCGACCCTACCCAGGTACCCACCCTTCTATTGCCTGACCCTACCCGGTTACCCACCCCTCTATTACCTGATCCTACCCAGGTACCCACCCCTCTATTGCCTGACCCTACCCAGGTACCCACCCCTCTATTGCCTGACCCTACCCAGGTACCCATCCTTCTATTGCCCGACCCTACCCAGGTACCCACCCTTCTATTGCCCGACCCTACCCAGGTACCCACCCCTCTATTACCCGACCCTACCCAGGTACCCACCCTTCTATTGCCTGACCCTACCCGGTTACCCACCCCTCTATTACCTGATCCTACCCCGGTACCCACCCCTCTATTACCCGACCCTACCCAGGTACCTACCCTTCTATTGCCTGACCCTACCCGGTTACCCACCCCTCTATTACCTGATCCTACCCGGTTACCCACCCCTCTATTACCTGATCCTACCCGGTTACCCACCCCTCTATTACCTGATCCTACCCAGGTACCCACCCCTCTATTACCAGATCCTACCCGGGTATTTAACCCTCTTGGCCGACCTTGCCCAGGTACCCACCCCTCTATTACCCGAACCCGCCCGGGTTCCGACCCCTCTATTGCCCGATCCTACCCAGGTATCCACGCCTCTATTACCTGAACCTACCCGGGTACCCACCCCTCTTGGCCGACCTTGCCCAGGTACCCACGCCTCTATTACCCACCCTACCCGGGTACCCACTCCTCTATTACTCAACCCTACCAGGGTACCCACCCCTCTATTGCCCAACCCTACCCAGGTACCCACTCCTCTATTACTCAACCCTACCCGGGTACCCACCCCTCTATTACCCAACCCTACCCGGGTACCCACCCCTCTATTACCCAACCCTACCCGGGTACCTGCTGTAGGTCTCAAGAGTTGGGTACATAATGTCTGATTGGGAATAGTTTGATGGAGCCCAGGCAAAAACTATTTATACACGTATAAAACGATCTGGTCATGCACACACTGAAGTTTACTGAAGTTTTATCTTCATTCAAACATATGAACATCCGAGGAATGGGTGCACAGTCAGAAAGTAATGTAAACATTAGTGACTTGTAGTGTAACCATGGAGTTCCAGATAAATTTTGTCATCAAGCAATATATCATGTGACCAACCATATGTCTGGGTAGTCCTGTAGGTACCTGGGTCCTACTCAGTACTATTGTCTATAGTCTATTAATATACTTCCATAATTAACAACCAAGCTCAATTTCTGGGTCTTGAATAATACCATATACCGGTATGCAATGTTACCATATCAATACTGCAAACACAAAGACAAAAATACTGAAATGATTAAACAACAAAATAGAGAAAGTACAAGCATCGCTGCACATCAGTTATTTGCTTAACATGAGTAGTCAATTCTGCAGCTGTTCAGGATATTTCAAGGGTCAGTAAACATCCATTCCAGAAGATAGAAGTTCTGAATGTTCAAATAGTACAGGGTAATGGTACGGATTTGTCCTCAACAAATTCAAGGCCTTTTCATGGCTGTTTCAAGGTACTTGTCGTCAAATTCAAGGCGAAATCTCATCCCAGATCAACCAGGATGGCAATCGCCTTCATTCAGTAGAACTCATAACTATCATGCAAGTGAGTTTTGCAATATCAGCTACAACGTTTAAATTACTCATAATCATGCAGCATTATTGCATACGTTCACGGACATTCACAAGCACATATGTATTTCAAATACAGATAGAAAAACATAAATTGATGTGTAGTCAGGTTGTAATTCATGGTCTTTTCAAATCATGATGTTTATTTTCAAGGCCTTTTCAAGACAAACTCTAAAATTCAAGGCCATTTCAAGACAAACTCTAAAATTCAAGGCCTTTTCAAGACAAACTCTAAAATTCAAGGCCATTTCAAGACAAGCTCTAAAATCCAAGGCCATTTCAAGACAAACTCTAAAATTCAAGGCCTTTTCAAGACAAACTCTAAAATTCAAGGCCTTTTCAAGTTATGTGCGCACCCTGTAGTAGGACGTGAGTTTTGCTGTTGTCAAGATTCCACCTGATCCAATCACCTTCCAACCAGCAACAATGGGAACACGTCAGGGTTTCTGTTAATGGTTTCTGACAAGTGCTATCACTGCAGTACAACATTGGCCACAAGTTTGAAGTCTGTGCATAACAAGACCATCTGCCAACACAATATACAGACCCAAATCAAACGACAATAATGCCAAGATGTGTGTTGGTGTTGGAGTCAAATGGTTCAGGCACAGGTAGACAGAGAAATGCAATGGTGTGTCTTTCACACCACGCTATCAGTAATCCTGCCAATTGGAAGAATAGCAGCCATTACCTGACTGTTACTCAATCTAGCCAATCTACCTTCTCTGAGAGACCAATAAGGCATCACACCTAGTCTGTCTCACAGTCCCTAAACCATATTATTTTCACTTCCTCCCAGCTCTTCTGTCAGCTCCAAATGAAGTCTAGATTTTCCCCAGGTTCTGAATTACCCATCTTAAATGGGTCTCTTTTCTATGCAGTTGCTTGTTTCTATCCAAATTACATATTTACAGTGAGTGAGTGAGTTTGATTTTACGCCGCTTTTAGCAATATTCCAGCAATATCACGACAGAGGACACCAGAAATGGGCTTCACACATTGTACCCATGTCGGGAATTGAACCCGGGTCTTCGGCGTGACGAGCGAATGCTTTAACCACTAGGCTACCCGACCGCCCTTCATATTTACAGGGATGAAGCATTACCCTACATCACTCTGCAGGGGGTGGCAACCAGGTGATAGCAGAACCTGAAAATGTCAACTTGTCCATGGTGGAAGTGTCAGCATGCTCTCTACCTCCAGAACTCTGGATTTTTCTGAAACTCTAGAACCCA